GTTGATAAATTTTATTTCTAAAAGTTTTTAATTTTTTTGAATATAAAATATATATGAATATATTTGAATATTTTGAATATATATTAATTTGAAATTGAGAAAACTAAATAGTTTGGCAAAAAAAAAAAATCTAAAAAATTTTTTAATTCAAGTAATGTTTTTCTGCTTTTGTTTTCTATTAATTTTGCTAATCTTAGAAGGAAATTTTTTTTTTTTTGATGTTTTTTTCTGTGTGAGCGTAAGTGATATAAATGGTGCTAATGTAAGATAATTAATAATTGCGTAATTCTGTTTATAAAAGATAAACAAATCTATTTGTTGCTTACACGTCAAACGTGGATCAATTTAAAAACTGGTGAAAAAAATCTTTCTTTTTTTTTTTCCGCAATTGTTATTACATTAATAGTTATGACAAAAAAACTAAAAATGAGGGGATTTGCGCGAAAAATTTTTTTGCTGCTCATTAAATACCGTGTTTGGTCATCTGTAAATGAGTGAGGTGACCAAAAATTTCTAGGCCAACTGGTGGTCTACAAGATTCAATTTCTGTTAATTTTCCAAAGTTCGTTTTATTTGTTACTCCGTCAAAATGGTAAATTTGGTAAGTCTTTTATAAAAAAATTAGAAAAAAATTTTTTTCGTTATTTATTATAACCAGCAAATGTAATTTGGGAAACTGAAAATGAAGGTGAGAGGAGGACGATGGTAGCAAGTGGTTCATAAGAGATTTATAATGGTTTATGCCATTTGAAACAGTTTATGGTTTCCGTAGTTTAAGGTCGTTGTAGTATCCAACGGTTACTCGAAGAAAAATTTGTTTCAGCTAAGCAGCGATAGCCGTTCAGCAGTATCACCAACTTGTTCGTCCAGTTCACATGTCTCTGAAGAGTACGACGAACTGGCTGCAAAACTTGCCAGACGGAATATGATCGCAGAAGGTTTTATTTCGTTTTCACTTTTTATATTAATTTATCGAGCAGTTTTTCTATTTTTTATGATCTACTGATTGTCGTAATTGCTTCATAAGAACGTTGGAATTTCTACCGTTATCTGAGTTGTAGAAAAGTCTTCCCAATGATGTGTTGATTAATTATTGCACATTTACATACAGATACGTTGACTAAGGGATAAACTGAAGCTGTATTGTTAAAATGGTCTGATTTTTGTTATTGAATAATCGTAAAGTCGCAAATTGGCTGCTAACATCTATTAATTGTAGGCGAACCAGTTGAGCCAAGTAAACCACCAAAGCTTGGTATCTATTCAGAGTTTCATGAGTTTTCTCGAAAACAAATCAAGTATTTTATTGAAACTTTCAAAAGGTAAATTGTACTTTTTTTAATGACTTTAAACTGATCACTAAAAACAGTGAGAATAGTTTGAAACAATTAGTCACCGGTCGGTGAACTGAAGTGGTGCTTAACTAAAAATTTTAATATATTTTTGGTTTTTTCATAAAAATTGAAAGATTATGTTTGTCCACTGAATTTCAGTGATGCAACTGCACAAATCACTTTAGTATGGCCGTAAATTGTAAATGATGAAAATATTTGTGAATGTTCTTCTTTCCTTTAACTACCTTATCACTAACAAACTACTTTTTTTTCTGCTCGCCCATAGAAACATTTCGACACAAAGCCTAATTGGAATTTAAGGTTTGATGAGGACGGCGATAATTTTATCGACTTCAATGAACTAAAAAGGATGATGGAGAAACTTGGTGAACCACAGACACATATCGCCTTAAAGACCATCTTAAAAATGGTCGGTTGCTTTGATACCATTGTAAAATTTATAAATCCATTCATTTTTATTATTACTTTCAATCCGTCTATGACGCCCAGGTTAATGCAAAAATTCTTCCATTTTTACTTCTCATTTTGTTCAACGATTTAAAATAAAACATTTGCATCTCAGAACATACAGTAACTTTCGCCGCCAGTAGCAAGTTGTTGTTTTCCATTAGAGACCTTTTTAATCCTACTTTAATTGAAGCTTTTTCTTTGGCACTTTCCCTTTCATCGCTCAATTAAATTCCAGGTTGACGACGACAAAGATGGAAAAGTGAATCTTCGCGAATTTCTTCTAATTTTTCGGTACGCAGCCAGCGAACAGCTGTCGTGTTCGCAGGTTTTCAACGAACTGGCATCAAGTGTCGATGTAACCAAGGAAGGTGTTAAAGGGGCAGCAAATTTCTTCCAGGCTAGAGTGAGTGTTTTTCCTGCTTCTAATATTTTGAAGGTGCAAAAACAATCCAGTCAGCTACAAAACTGACTGACCATGTATTACGTTTTTTTCTAACGCGTTTTAAAGTGTATTTGATAAAATAGCTTAATACTATGATCACCACAGCTCCTTCCGTTTCCAGATAGAGGAGCAAACAAAACTGAGCAAATTTGAAGAAGAAATACGGGCAGAAAGGGAGGAACGTTTACAGGAAGAGGAGGAAAGAAGGCAACGAAGAAAACAATTTCTTGCAAATAAAGCAGCTTTCCAAGGATAAGCAGTCAAACAAGACGTCACGTCCCCACTACACTATCAACAAATTGTTTACCAGATCTGTTTACACATAAATATATATTTTCACCCATGGATCGTCCTTTTCACCATTTGCGTTTTGTCTTTTATTGTCTCTACTTTACTTCCTAGCTGTATGTATACGTGGTATACAAAGGCTATATTTCTGACAGCTTTTGAGAAAGTACTTACTCTACTAGTTTCTTATCATCGTCTTATGTGGTAAAAAGTTTTTAATTTTGAAATTTGCTTGAAAATAAAAGTTCGAGTTAAATAACTTTGTCCAACAGACCGCTCCACACCTTCTAGAACATCCAGTCCATGATCTCGGCCTTGTTTACATCTTCTGCATCATAATAACCTTTCTCCAAATTCAAATGCAAAAGACAGCAGGAAGTTTAAGAATACTTGAAAACACATCTTTTAAAGTAAAGCAGAAGGTAAATCAAGTCAGGAAAATCAAAAATACGTGCCTCAGGTGACCTTTACTTCTGTTATTCGGAACGTCTGTCACTCTCAGTGGTGTAGGGGAGTTGAGTATTACTTCTGTAACATATATGACATTTGCGAAAACAAGTCAGGTAAAGCAAATCAAACATTCATTATTTGCTTCCTCAAAATGTAACTACCCGGTGCAGAAAAAAGCTTTTTCAAATTTCAAAGCATAAAATTTGGTGAAATACTAGTGACGTAGACTATCTGAAACAACAGCACATGTACAAACAATATAAATTCGTGCAATAAAAATTAGAACTGTATTTAAAAATTTAATGTGGGATAGAAAAATTAGGGTTGAAAATGGCTGACCATAACTACAATCCTTGCGAATATTTTTCTTCAGAAACTCAATATAAAGTAATTTGTTTCTTTAAAACCCTAGCTCCTCCCTTAAAAACCATAACAGTCTTTAACCCCGTAAACGTAACTTCCAAGGTCCAGAACATTACTACAACCTATAGTCCGCAAGGCATCTATTAAATAATAGAAAAAAAAGAAGCAGTTTATGGTCAGTGACTTATTAGCAAATGAAATCAAAAATGTTTTGAATAACCAAAAGACATATACACAGACAAAAACTTTCCGAACATAGAATAAAAAAATACCCGTAGCGGCTTTTGAAACCATTAGAAATAAAAATTAAAAATCTTTAAATTAAAT